TACGAAACTATTTATTTTGCTAGGGAATCTCAAATTGCTGCACTCAGATTTTTAGATAAACTTTAAAAGGAATAAGAAACAATAAGAGCAAAAAAAATGTAAATGCTGGAGACGAGAGAAGGAAATTTGGCTAAATCTTGTTTACATTAATACCCTTCACTATTCCTGTCTGTATCTTTCCATCCTTGCAAATCATTCTTGCTTCCACCATATCCATACACTTCTGTTTTTTAGACTTCTCATCTCTGTCTTTCTAAGAACCTCTTAAACCCATCCAGCCACAACCATTTACACTTACGGTGCATATGTACATTAGACATGTGGTGATATATTATTTGTTTACAATAAGGTCTTTTTGAACATTTTCACAATCATAAGATATAGGGACTGACTGTTTATCAGGCCTGCATCTGAAATTGTGGTTGCTGATGCCATGTAGATAAAAAGAATTATACATTGTTTGTTTCTCGGTGGTTGAATTTGCTTACAAGTCTGTTGGCACTACTCTTGAATTACCTAATGGAAGGAGTGCATTGCAGTTGGCTTTTTCCTCAAGAGACAAATCTCATGGCAGGCTATACATTACATTTGATTTCAGAAAGATTGATTTGGGGGAAGGATATATGTGCATAATGTTTCCCTTGCCTGTTATTTTTTTCTCCTGAAATTCCTTCCTCTTGAGGCTTTTACTCTTTTGAGTTCCAGCCTATGTTTATTTTACAAATGTGGGCCTAGGTATCCTGGGGGTTAAGTTTAGCTAGGATTGGAAGTTGTGCTGCAATGGTTGAGCACTCTTTCCTTTCCACCCCTTCTCTCATGCAAATAACCCCTCCCATTCTGCAAAGAAGTCAGGTCTATAGATTTTCAATAATATATGTTGCTGTAGTGCAGTGGTTCTCAACCTTTCTAATGCCGCAACCCCATAATACAGTTCCCCATTTTGTGGTGACCCCCAACCACTTATACATCACCGGGTGCCAGGGTGTGGCCAAAGAAAAGGGGTAAAAAATGGCGGACAGCCTTGTTTGGCGACCCCCGTGAAATGGTCGTTCGACCCCAAATGGTGTCCCGACCCACAGGTTGAGAACCACTGCTGTAGTGTAAGGTGGAATTCTTACCCTTGTAGTGATATTTATCTGTTTCTCTCTGTGTCTTTCAATCAGTCAAATTTATATATCCATTTCACAAATATGAGTCAGTGGTAACTCATGGAAAAATATGATGCTGTTTAAAAATATTATTCTACCTAAATGCTTCTTTAAAAAATTGAGAAGTTGAAAAACTGTAAGAGTGCACTAGCATGTACAAGCTTATTCATTTAATTATGCAAATTTATACACATTTAAGAAATTTGACTGCAACGTGCCAACTGGTGCTGGCACCCCAACAGGACAAAAAATATTCACGATTAGTATATAAACAACAACGATAAATGAAATTAGGACTGCCTCTTTGTACCTCTTTGCCTATTTAGTTAATTTATCGATCCAAGAACTGGACTCACAGCCTCTAAATTGGGCTCTTCTGATTGTATACTGCGACCTTTACGTAGTGCATTTGTTTCATTGCACATTCACATGTGAATGAGAGTAGCCTTATCCGAGGCAAGGGATCCCATTGGGGTTTTGAGTAGGATGCCAGGAGCCATATTCTAAAATGCAGTGACTTTATTAAAAAATTGAATTTCATTTTGTTTTGTGGGGATAAAATCATCAACTGGTGTTAAGTTTAAAATGGGTAATTCATTCTGCCCCCTGTGTCTCATTAAATAGCAATAAATATAGACTTATATTCCGCTTCAGGGTGCTTTACAGCCATTCTAAGTGGTTTACAGGGTCAGCCTATTGCCCTCAACAATCTGGGTCCCCATTTTACTGATCTCAGAAGGATGGAAAGCTGAGTCAACCTTGAGCTGGTGAGATTCAAACTGCCAATCTGCTGTCAGACAACAGAATTAACTTACAATATTGTATTCTAACCACTATGCCACCACGGCTCTTGACAATATGACGACAACTTCTGGAGATCTCTGAGATTAAGTTTTTCAAGAATCATAAGTTTGCCTGGAATCACTAGTGGTTGATTAAATTGAGGTATACTTCTTTCCTACTAGGTGTCCTTTTGTCCAATCTAGTATGTTGTTTCTGAACTGTGTACAATTAAAACCTGTTTCTTGGTGGCAACTGCCTCTTATTTTGATGTGTTTGGATATTGTTCTTCATGCTTTTCCAGAAAGGTTACCTGTTTCAGTTTTGCCTTGCTTAATCCTTGCTAGTGTAAAGTTTTGAAATACTATTCCTTGCCAAGTCAAAAAAGCAGAAAAGGGTATTTTTCATTTCTTCCAAAGTTATTCCATTATTTTATTGGCGCTTTATTGTAATTGTAATTCAAATGTGGTACTTGGAAAAAAAACCAGGGGGTATCATATTTTAATTAGTCACCGTGTCAAAGGAGAGCTACATTAATTATTGGAAATCTCACCATCCAGATGGTTTTAATTTTCACAGCAGGGAACTGACATCTTTTTAAGGTGATACTTTTCAAATTAAAATCAGCCTGGGTATTACTCATACTTGTTTTAGTTTGAGAGTGAGGTGATGTATCTTGTAGTTTTGAAACTGCCCAGCTTTTTCCTTGGAGTGTTTTGGAGTGGAGAGGTACACACGCATTTTAAAAGAGGCCGAGCCATTTGCTTTAACATGATTGAAATTGACAATTTGGCTCCAGAGAATGGAGGATGGGAGGTAGGCAATCTTTTTGTCATTAGGATTTGTTATTGAATCTACGGGACAGAGTTTGCCAAACGTTGTTTTTATCTGACAGTCAACATCATACGCAGCAAAAAAAAAAAAAAAGTTGAAGGATTGAATTCCCTGAGCATTTGACCTATTAATGCAGCAACACTGGCCGACAGAAGCAGCAAAATTAATGTGCAGTTATGCTGGCCAACGTGCAAATTATCCTCACACTGGGTTAATCCATTGGCTTTCCTTGCCCAGTGTTATCTGTTTTGACTGGCAGCAACTCTCTTGTATCCCAAAAAAGAGCTCTTTCTCACAACTCTTTGGCAAAACTGTTTCCCTGTTCCTTATGAGTCTTTCTTACCATCTCTGCTAACATCTTCCTCGCAGGCATTTTTTTTTTAAAACCAAGGAACACCTGCTGTCTCTTTTCCAAAGCATCTGTTCATGGCTCTCTGTGAAACTGCTGAGCCCAGTTCCTGGAACTTGGCTCACTGCACTGCTCTGCAGTCAAGGTGGCCTGCTTTGGCCTTAGAACCGTGATGTGAATAAGTAGCCCTGTGTTTCGTCTTTGATCAACTTTAATTTAGGGTTTGAGTTTGGCTCGGTCAGATGAGGCTAACTTATATATTCTGAATCTACAGCATGAGGCTTCTTAAAATTAATGGGCTTAAATTAAGAACATACCTGTCCATTTTTATCACTTGCCCTTGTTTCCACCACAACAAGTGCTCTTTTGAAACGATAGAAAGTTTATTCTAAAACCTCCAGAAAAATCTTCATGCGGTTAAGCAGACTCGTTTCCCAGAGATGGATCTTCCCGTTGCTAAAATTGTGTTATGCATATAAAAGATGGAGTTATAAACAAGCTCAGAGAGAAGTCAAGATTTGTAAAAAGGGGGTCTGTAGGGAGGGGGGAATAGGATGGGACGAGGTGCAAAGAAGAAAAATGTATAGAATAACCTGAAAGAAAACAAGTTTGGTTGGGCTGGAACATCGCACAATATATTATTTTTGCAATCATGTGTCACCATACTGTTTGGGCACGATCTCTACTCTTGCGAGCTGCAGTTGGCATCATATTCCTCTTACTTCTGAGGCCACAATGATGAGCTGCCTCCTGTTGCTCTAATGCAGTGTTTCTCAACCTTGACAATTTTAAGGCATGTGGACTTCAATTCCCAGAATTCCACAGCCAGCAATGCTGGCTGTGGAATTCTGGGAGTTGAAGTCCACATGCCTTAAAATTGTCAAGGTTGAGAAACACTGCTCTAATGTATGAATTTCACTGCATGATAAAACACGGACCCGTTTCTTTTGAAAGAAATGATAAAATGGGTAAGGACACTCAAGGAACGGATGTTCCATCTTTGGTGTATTAGGATAACGTATTAGGATAATTAGGAGAAAAACCTAATATGGTGAATTTTCAGAGAAAATTCAGCCACGCAGACACCTTTTTTCTAATGTAAACGGGGAAGTAAGGAAACAATCTCAGGAACTTTCTTTGAAAAATTTTTGAGGAATCTCAGCTTGGTACTTGGTATCCTTCTAGTTAGTGCCATTCCAAGACAGTTGATGAGGAGACTAATTGGAAGCCCCGACTTCCTTTCGAAAGATTTGCTGCACCATTTGAGATGCCAATTCTTGCCCGCAGTTATTGGCCCATCTCACAATGCCATTTGAAACAGGTGGCGGGAACAACTTTCCTACTAATCCAATGCTTTATTTGCCCTCGCACAAGGAGAAAAGTAGTAGTAGCCACTCACCTCCCTACATACTCCCCCCCTTTTTCTTGATTTAGCTGGATTGGATTGGATGGGTTGGGGGGGATGGGATTGGCTTTGTGATATAAAGTACAATCTGAAATCAGTAATTTCTAGATGCCCCCTGAAATTTGAAAGAAAGTGGGATGGGGTTTTTGTGTGTGTGTGTGTGTGTGTGTAAAACTAATGCTATTCTCATTTCTATGGTATTCTTTTGATTAGGGTTATCATCTTATTTGTCCCAAAAAAACCAAACAACCCCACAACCCAACTGTGTGTGCTCCTTAACGATATATAATGGATCATTTATGAGAGCTGGTGTGCTCAGTTTGTATTGCATGCCTCCAATCATATAGCAATGATACCCTGTCTCTGAATTGGAGAACTTGTAAGAAGTCATCGTCTTCATTCACTCTATGACCAAATCTGGTAAATACTTGTAATTTTTCCCCCTTTTTTTCTTTTTTCCTTCTTCTTCCTCTTCCTTTACAAGCCCAGCTTCTAGTGGAAACAGACACATTTGGCAGTCAAGTCCGGATCAAAGGGAAAGAGACAGACTTTTACCTTTGTATGAACAGGAAAGGAAAGCTAGTAGGGAAGGTAAGTGTTTTCTATTAATTCATTTGTAATATGAGTGTTACCTTTAGCAGTGACTGTGAACTCCCATAACGATGTGTTCTGAACTTTGCCTGTCAACCCCAAATGAAAAGCAGGATTTGAGGAATGTGGAATTCTTCAAGCATTCATGCTTTTACTTAAAAACAGAAGAAAGAAAGAAAAAAATCCTAACTCATAAAATTAAGTACTGTGGCTAACCACTGGGGTTTTATTACTGATTTCTCTGCGTACACGCAGGTTTCCATTTTACAGATGCATAAATTGTTAAAAGATGTGCTTCTCTTGTTCTCTCTCCAAAACAATTGAGAGTTTGCATTACATGATAGAGATCTCTCTTACCTTGGTGGTTTAAAACAGGCAGAAACAGAAACAGAAAACTGCAGAAACATGTTAAGATGTTAGACAATGGGGTATCACTCTTAAAATAAAAACAGTTTAAAATGAAACGATATTGCAGTCTAGATCTTATTGGGGATGGGTTTATGCTTCTTATATTACAAGAATATTTCATTACCTTTGATCCTCACACACAGTGGAAGCATGCAATGGATTATATAACATTGGCCTATGCCTCTTAGCTGCTAGCTTCAGATTAAAATGTAACCATTACTTTTTTTGGGGGGGGGGGTAGTTCCCACCCATGTTTTGCTCTAGTTAGTTTGTTTGGGTCACATTTTTGGCACATTTGGAGTTTGACAAGGCAGGCAACAGACAAATCCAAACTCCAGAGATTTTAAAAAAGGATCTTCCCCTTCTCCCTACCAAAATTAATTCTTACACTGGCATCAGATTTTTTTTCAAGGAGGTGGTGGTGGTGGTGGGGAGGAATCTAAATGTTTGGTGGTGGGAGACAGTGTGAATTTAGTTTAGAGTTGTAGGTCCAGAAGCCACATTCTCAGATAAAAATCAGGTACAGAAAGACACATTATTTAGTTTTAAGCAAACTTTTCTGTGCTTTCAAATATGGAACTCCCTAGAATCTCTCCGGATGTCCCTTGGACTGATGGTGCGCTATCAGAACCACTATGAAGAGGCATGACCAAATTTTTTTTTTACAGGTGCTGCTTTATTTCTTGCTAATAATAGAAACATTCAGAGAAAAAAAGTCTCTGATTTGTTTAAACACTGAATAGATAACACTACTTCCCTATTGACTAGGAAAAATAGAATTTACTAAAAACTGGCAAAGAATATTTTTATTCACAACAGCAAATTCTTTAATTTGGTAAAAGTGGCATTACTGGATCAGAAGACCAGCAGGTGATAGTACAGTATAGTGATTATTGTCAGATTAGGATGGAGATCCAGCTTCAGATCGACATTTAACTAATGGGAAATCTTCCACTATTTACTGACTCACAACCTGATTTACTTCTCAAGGATGCTGTAGGAATAGAGAGGGAAAGAAAAAAAAACCCTGTAGACTGCCTGATTTTCTTGCACAAATGGAAGAGTATAAGTATACCTGCTCCATGGTATCTGAAGCAGAACATCCAGATTCAGTCACAGTTTTGTTCCATATAGTATTAACCTTGTGAACTCTAAAGCTTCCTCCTTCCGTTATGTATTTAAGATGTACAGTGATTAACATTTATATGTTACTTATATGTAAGGGTGTAGGTCTGTACATATGCTGTATATAGTATGTTTAAATGTGTGTTATATATGTATACACTTTGAGAGCAAGCAACTAAATTTCATTTTTAACGTGTGCCGTTGTGCCCACAATAAAAAATGAAAATAAAGGTAATCTAATCTAATCTAATCATAAAATAGTAATTATTTGAAAAACCATTTCTAGATTATTAATAAAGATTAGTACTTCATATCATGTGTTTGATGTACAAAACACCACATGCGTTATAATTCTTTCAACAGTCCTTAAAAATGGATCTGTATTGCCAGTTATTCCAGTATTTCAGATGGAACACAGGAAGATTGCCACTAAGAGAGATTTGCCTATTGTATTTAACAAGATTACATGAGAGGTGAAACTTGGATCAAGAACTTCTATAGTTGCAGTTTTATAAATCACTGGGCTGTATCGGATCCCATCTGTCCGAATTGGTGCTATTACCTTACCTTCTCTTATTCTTTTATTTTCATATGTAAAATCAGAAAAGAAATATCCATCCTAGGCAAACAGCTGGGGTGCAATAACTGCCTAAAGTCACTGGGAATCAGGCAGCAAATATATTGAACATATTATGGTTGGCACAGTCAGCCAAATGTTTAGAATGGATTTGGCATTTTTATTCATTTATTGAGTCCTGCCCAAGGATCTGGAATAGGCATATTGTTTGATGGAGGATGTAAACTGTTCCAAGTAAACTTGTCTTTTCAAATGACTGATGCTGAGTTTGTCAATGCTGATGGTGTTCAAGTGGTGCTCCAGATGTTTTGGGATTGCACCCAAGGTGCCTGTTATTATTGATATTATCTCTGCTTTCTTTTGCCACAGTTGTTTTAGTTTATTTGCAGATCTTTGTATTTTGTGATTTTTCCCCAGTTCTTTCTGTTCTATTTTGCTGTCTCCGGGTCTAATATATATAGCGTAGTCTTTTTTTTTTCCTCTCTCTCTCTCTAAATATATGTATACACATATGCATACACACAGTCATGTGAAAAACTAAGTATATCCTTGATTTTTAGGGTTTTATATATCAGGACATAGTAAAAATCATCTGATCCTTCGCAGTTCTTAAAAATAGGTCAATTCAGCCTCATATGAACAACACATGACATATTGCATCATGTCAACATTTTATAAAAAGAAAGCCAAAATGGGGAAACCATGTATGAAAAACTAACAGCAGCAATTGCTTCTTTAAGTTCATTGCTGATCTTTGGTATTGTATTAATGCACACCTCGATACTGGAGACCAGTAAACTTCTAAAACTTTAGCTTTTATAGAGGTAGTCACACTTGCTGATGATCAATTGATCAAGGTCACTTAATTAGTAACACCTGGTTGCTACTTAGCCTCTTCATACCTATGGATGCTATAAGGGTGTACTTGTTTTTCACACATGACTTCTCCATTTTGGCTTTTTAAAATAAATGATGACATGATGTAATGTGTCATATGCTGTTCATCTGAGGTTGTATTTACCTACTTTTAAGAACTGTTAAGGAGCAGATGATTTTTAGTATGTTCTGATACATAGAGCTATAGAACTGAAAGACGGTATACTTAATTTTTCACATGACTATATATTTGCGTATTCAGAACTTTTAGTTTTGATTGAGTCCAGTCCACTGTTCCAGCTGTGTATTTAATGACTGGAATTCCCCAAGTATTAATTGCCTTTTCTCCACTCTAATGATGTATTCACTTCTTACTTTCTTTTTGACTTCAGTGTGATTGATGTCAGCTTGATGAATGCCCAGATATTTGTAGTGATTGTCTTTATCCAGACTCTTGATGTTATTTTATAAGGCATCTTGATTCCTTCTGTATTCACCGTTTTCCCCTGCTTATAGTAAGGGTGGCACATTTGTCCAGTCCAAACTCCATTGCAATATCTTGGCTGTATATTCGGACAGTGTTGAGCAGCAATTCTATTTCAGATGGTGTTTTTCCATACAGTTTTATATTGTCCGTGTAAATGAAGTGCTGTTAATATAATAATAATAACAAACCCTGTAACTTTGCTCACTGGTCAGGATGACAGGAAGAGATGTGAATTTTAGTCCAACCCATCAGTGCTATTGGTTGAAGGGTGATGGTTCAGAGCAGAGGTCCCCAACCTTTTGGTCACTAGGGACCAGTTCTGTGAAGAAAGATTTTTCCATGGACCGTAAAGTGTGTGATTTTGTGTGCTACCTGCATCCCACGGATGGGTCTTTGCTTGTTTGTGCAGACCGGTTGCTAGCATGCTGCAGCCCGGTACCGGTCCACGGACCGGGGGTTGGGAACCCCTAGTTCAGAGCCTCCATGATAGCTTTTGATAGCTTTCAACATAGAAATACATTATTTTTCATTGAAACTTTATTTTAATCAGCTGAACAGATTTATTTATTTTTCATGGATTTCTTCTATTTTTTAAAATGGTGTTTGATCATCAATCTAAATTAGGATTTTGTTTGCATGTGTGTGTGTCTATAGCCTCATTGTAAAATATGTCTTTGATTCTTATCCTGGCCTTCCTTTGCTTGTCCCAATTCCTAACAATTCCAACAAATAGATTGGCATGACCAACTGAGAAGCTGTACAGGTAGTCCTCAACTTACGACCACAGTTGGGACCAGAATTTCCATTGCTAAGTAAGGCTAAGTAAATTGTGCTCAATTTTACCTTTTAGCTACACTTGTTAAATGAATCACTGCAGTTGTTAAACGAGTCACCCAGTTATTAAGTGTATATGGCTTCCCCCATTCAGTTTGCTTGCTGGAAGCCAGCTGGGAAGTTCCCAAATGGTGGTCACGTGACCCTGGGCCATAATTAACATGCCAGTTGTCAAGTGCCCAAATTTTGATCAGATGTCTATGGGGTGTCTGTCATTGTTGTAAGTGGGAAGACTGGCTTTAAGTCCCTTATTTTTCAGCGTCATAACTTTGAATAGTCATGAAATGAACGGCCGTAATTCAAAGACTACCTGTATAAACATTCGACTATAGAAACAAAGATTTCCAGTATCAGTAACCTCTTGAGGCGGGTGGGTTCGGGCAGGTGAGGGAGGACACAAAATAAAACAAAAAATGTTAGTGATACTGGAAGTTATGTTCACCAGCAATATCTTGGCCTCAGCTCTTTTTCTGGCAATAACTTGAGTAACCGCATTCTTAATATATTCAGCAGCCAATAAAACTCACAATACATATTTGTGCCTGGATCAAGATACAGATATTTAAGTCCACTCTGGAGGCAAGAATCCCTTTAAGTTCATTTGCCAATAATGAAATTGTGGGCTGTTTCCTCCCCCCCCCCAATTCCTTTCCTATTAACCTACTTAGCATAAGTCTTTCCTAGCATGTGCCA